GGAAAAGAATTTAAAAACGGGGAGAAAAGAGAGACTGTGCTGGTCAAGACGCCTCATGCACCAGATGGACCGTCTCATCTGCCTCTCTTTCCGGGGATAGAGAGAGAGAGAGAGAGAGAGAGAGGTAGACAGGGAAAGAGCAACTGCTAAAATCGCTGCCGATCTGGACCAACCCAGTATGCGGTTAAAGCCCTTCAACTCCTTCAGCATCGCCTTCATGATGAGCGGCGCACTCTTGCTCGTTTTCTTCTGCAGCTTCCTCGAATTCCCTTTTCTATCAACCTCAATCAAACCCATCAACGATCCGACCAAGTTCACACCCGACCCATTTACTAACTTGATCGGCGCCTTCAGGAAGTGGGATGCCCAGGTGGGTTGCTCTCGTTTCAGAGAGAAGCACAAGCTGCAGATGTTGCAGAGCAAGTCTTCTTCTCTGCAGCAAATTCGCGGCGAATCGGAGTGCGGGGAGACGAAATCAGAGCATGTTAGCGTGCTGGTGAAAGGGTGGACTTGGATTCCTGATAATTTGGATAGTTTGTATTCATGCTCGTGTGGGTTGAGCTGCAAAATTTGGATAATTTGGATAATTTTGGAGCTGCAAAATTAACTTGTATTGGGATGGAGGGGGTGGAGCCGTGGAGGAAGACGAATGGTTGTGGGTGTGTGTGTCGCGGAAGACGAAGGGGTCTAGGGAAGGATGGAGGTGCAGAGGGATCTGGGGATCTGGGGAAGGACAGATGAGCAGAGCTCCATAGGGGGAAGGATGTGCAGAGGTGCAGAGGGAAAAGGGAGGGGGATCGGGGTGGGGAAGAGAGGATCTGGGGAATTTTTTTTTAAATTTTATTTAATTAATTATTTTAATAGTTTAAATTTTTTTAAATTTTTTTAATGACACGTGGCGCCTAGTCATTGTCCACGTAGGTGCCACGTCATCATTTAACGGCAGAGTTAACAGTTTGACTAACGGATGTATGAGACTGTCCCAAAATTTACACTTTAGGTATGATTCTGGGACGAAAAAAAATTAATGTACTAAATGTTGAAAACCACAAAACATGAAGGTAGTAAATTGTCTTTTACCCTAAAATATATTATTAGAAAACTGTTATTGATACTTCGAAAATACAGTCATCTTAGAATAACCACATTGTGTCGAGAATAGGCGTAACATATTTTTGGTAAGAATGGTAGGTGAAATTGGGAAAGGTACGTAACTGTTTCTAAAAATAATCAGAAAATTAGAAGGGTTTTAAGGGGTCCATGTATCATTAGTTTCACCTACACTTAAGCAAAAGGCAACCCTAGCTTACTATTGCACTTTAATCGTGTCCTACAATGCCACTAAACTCAATTAGTATATGACTAAATTGTTATTGGTGCTACAAAAACGAGTATATCAATCGAGAAGAAGCATAACTTTAGCATCAAATTAAGGCACATATATAGAAAATTAAACAAAATAAGAAGTTATTTCTACACCTAAGAAAACCAGAGAGAGAGAGAGAGAGAGAGAGAGAAACATATGTTGAAGATGAGGTTCTTATTGGTAGCTTCCCATGCCAAACCTCCTCTGAAATGAATGGACCAAACCAACACCAACACCTTCAACCTCGAGCGTGTGTACCACAAACGTGAACGCTACCGCCGGTACCTTTAACGCCATCTCTTTCTCTCTTCTTATTTTGGGTTTTACATCCAAAATAAAACATAATATTGTGGGATTCTGCTAAATAATTAGTAATGTTAGTTTGAAACAATTGGATTTCACTCAAAACAGATAATTTGTCTGCATTTTCGCTTCTAGTGTAGGGTTTGATCCAGTGTACTTTTGGACTGTTTGGCTAGTTATGTACTTTTGTATTTGGACTGTTTGGCTAGCTATGTATTCTCTTCAAGCATCATTTCTGTTTCACTACTCGAAATGATCTGAAGCTCCTTATCGACTGAAGGCACCAGAAAGTTGTGTTTGCCGAAGCTTGCAAATACTGTTGTCACTCTCCTTTCTTTTGGCGCTCTTTAAAGCTCCTGTATACTTTTTTTGTAAGGTCTATTATTTATTTTCTTCGTGAAAATATATGGTTCAACATTGTCGTTTAAGATGGGACGGGGGTTCTAGAGAGTTCGTGCAGACAGCAGATCTATAACACACCGAAGTTTGTAAACTAGCTAATTTGACACAATATCCCATTTATGTATTCTATAAAATTTTATGTTGTGCTTTTTTTTAAGTGTGTGAAATTGCTTAAGCAATCATTGCAATCAAAGACGGTTCTCACCAATGTGTTCCTCGGAGGGAAGATAACATGCATTCAAAGACAGTTCTCCTTTCACCAATTTGTCGGTTTAGTTGAACAAAGGTTTCTTTCACTAATTTTAATTTTAAGGTTTCTTTCACTAATCTTAGTCCACCCATGGTTACTAAAGATATTGTGCATGGTTGGGTTGTGTTTTGACGAAAAACCTAAAATGAATGCATGCTTGAGTCGAATTCGAGCTCAAATAGCTTAACACGAAATCATATTTGAACTAGACTTGTTTATAGTTAACTTGATATAATTCACACCCAACTTTGGTTAAACTTAATAGTAACAAGTTTGTCGAGCTTAAAACTTATAAATGAAGACAACTACAAGTCTTTTAACAGAAATTTTTCAATGTGTCAAGAATACGGCATCAAGTATCATAATATAATTAGTTAAAAAATATTTTTATTAAATTTCAACCATAAGATAAAAGTGAGCCTTGCTTCGAGCCTTGCTTCGACCATAAGATAAATGAAGACAACTTATAACTACGAGCCTTGCTTCGAGCTTAAAACTTATAAATGAAGACAACTACGAGCCTTGCTTCGACCATAAGATAAAAGTGAGCCTTTCATTATTTTCCTTTAGAAAAAGAAAAGTTGTGGAAAAAGAGAGTGGAATCGGCGTCCAAGCACAATCAGTCTTGCCTTTCGTACAAATCCCACCTCTAATATTTTACCACTGCATGTTTCCCTTCACTTTCTTATTTTTACAAAAGTTTGAAAAGAAAAATAAACATAATTTAATGATCCAATTGAATAATGCAGAAGTCTTTGCCTTTCGTACAAAGCTCATGCATACTCATCAATTAAAATTTCAGCGACGACAACAAAGTAGAATAAATGAGTGTGATTTAACATCCGATTTTTGTGATATAGAGGATTCTCAATGCAAAATCTATATTTTTCTTAACAAATGATATTATCTACGCTAAGGAGGTAAGGGAGTGAGCTAAGTCTCACAATAGGCTAGCACTAATGTGGTTCAAATTGAGAATCGAACCTAAAACCTCTCACTTGCAAGTGAAGAGGAATACCGCATATATTTTTATATTTAAATTTTAAAAAGTGGCCACTTTGAGGTTTTGGCTTTCTGATTGATTAGGAGTTAATCTTAGCGGCAGCTTATGACACACCCCGACCCGGAACGTCCACTAGGATTTCGAATCGAGATGTGCCAGCACGTCTTGATTTTAGGTCAGGGTGTGTTAGCTTAGGCCGATTTTTAGAACGTTTTTATACTTTTTTGATAGAATTATTATCTCAATAGTCAGATGATCGTTGTATTAAATACATATATTCACATGAATTCTATCAGACTGTCACATAGTGATTATATTTTATACATATAAGTATTGTAGCCAATCCCTAAAATAGAATATATAATACTTGCATCCTCTATTTGTGAATATTGCATCTTGACTGATAAAATCAACAATCAGAACTGTTCAATCACTCATCAAATAAATGAACGATTCATTGTGAATATATTACTTAGTATCCACACCTTCAATCTGTTCTATACATTTAAATGACTAAATGGTCTTCGATTGAAATGATCTTTTGTAAAGGGTTATCTTCAAACGAAAACTAAGAAATCGAACAATTTCGATTATAAAATTTTTACAGTCAAAATATGTCATTCGCAAAGAGGAAATGAGCTCATGCTCATCCCAAAAAAAGTATGCAAGTATTATCCAATAAAATATAGTACAATACAGGTAGGGGTGAGTTCAAAAAACCGAAAACCGAAAAAACCGAAAACCAAACCGAATTCTTTTGGTTCGGTTCGGTTTTAGTGATCTAGAAACCGAACCGAATTAATTAAATTAATTTTTTTATTTAATTATTTGTTTTGGGTATTATTTTCTAAACCCAATTTGTAAGTTAAAATGTACTAAACCCAATGTGTTGCCAAACTTTAAGCTCAAAATATTAAAAAAAGGCCTATAAAAACTCTAAACCCTAACCTATTATTTCTCCCCCATATAAGGTTCCGGAACCAAACCTCCTCCTGAAATACCTACATCCATCTCCATAGCACTGTCTACTTCTGCCCCATCTTTCTTTTCCAAATCTACTCTCATAACATGTAACAAAATCCATAAACATTTATTTTGGGTAGATTACTTGGGTAATTTGTGATGGAAAAGAATCCAACACACACTAAATAAATCCACCCACGCATTATTTTTACTAATCAAGTTGTCAACATGCAGTTACAAGCAAACAACCCTGATCTTTGAACAACATCATGCAATTTAACTTTTCTAAGTCATTTGTACGATTTTTGTGTTGAGAGGTTGTTAGTTTGGACTTTGGAAGACTTGATTAATGATTTTAGTTCAACTTTAAATGTTTATTTTCATTGTCTTTGATTCTAGTTAGAATGCTTATGTTATGATTGTGTTGGATATGTTAAAATTTAAAATTTCAATGTTTTTCATTTTTTGAAAAAAGACAAAAAACAAAAAACCGAAACCGAACCGAAAAAAACCGAAAAAAAAATGAACCGAACCGAAATTTCGGTTTGGTTTCGGTTTTGGCAAAAAACCGAACCGATTTAAACCGAACCCACCCCTAAATACAGGTGTATAGCCAAAAGTGAACCGATTAAAACTTATCAATCAAATTTGTGGCCTGAGTAATTTTTAATGAAGGGTTGAAATTCTATAAATAGGTCCATTATTGCAAGTATGATGCACTAAACTTTAGTTGCTTGAAAATATACTCATCAAAACTCTCTGTGTGCATGGAAAACCCCAAGCCAAGTATTTGCTTGAAGCTCCTTGTCGATACAAAGCGTCAACGAGTTCTCTTTGCTGAAGCTGGCAAAGACTTTGTGGACTTTCTCTTCACACTCCTGTCTTTGCCCATTGGCACTGTCATCGGGCTCCTTCCCAAAGATGGCATGGTTGGCTCGTTAGGCAAACTTTACGGCAGTGTCAAGAGCCTAAGCAGCACATACATGCAACCTTACTTTAACAAGGAATCCCTCCTGAAACCTAAGGCAACAGCAACGATTGGTGTTGGTGCCGATGTCCTTCATATGCTGATGATAGACGACTCCACTGCTGAAAAGTCATTCTATTATTGTGATTGTCGTAGTCGCGGCCAACAAAGGTACTGCTACAACGGATCCAGTGGAAATCCAACAGTTGTAACGGACAACCCTGAAGCAATTTGTCCACACTGCATTTCAAGCATAAATACCAAGGCGACTTTTGTCCATGGATCCGCTGCTGAAAGCAGAACGTCCGGCGAGGGAGGGTATGTGAAAGGTGTTGTCACGTATATGATTATGGATGACTTGGAAGTGCAGCCTATGTCTACCATTTCAGGCATAACCATGCTTAACAGGTTCAACGTCAGGGATGTCGGTGCCCTTGAAGAGAAGGTGGTCCATCTTACCATGGAAGAGGTCTGAAAAGTACCTAATTACATCTGTTTTTTTTTTCCTCTCTCAATTTTGTGAGGACATATTTTTCCGTCGATCTAATGTATGATCTGAATCTTGTACGTAGGGTCTCAAATTGCTGAGGGCATCGTTGCACTCAAACTTGGTCCTGACCACCGTGTTCCTTGGTACGAAAGAAGCGTGAACACCTCAACTTTATTTGCACTTCAACTGAAAGTATTGTGGAATAGACAGTCTGAATCTTCTACGAGGTGTTTGTTTCTGAATGATATTTTGTTTTGCATATCTAGTAATGTAATGTAATGACCTACGTAGTTTAGGGTTCCAAACTTTTTAGATGTTATGTAATGACCTACGTTTAAAGTTTAAACATAGGAGAGATGTTTTGACGAACCTAATATATATATTTTTATTTTAAACTAGTGTATCCGAGTCTTTGACTCGAATAATCACTAGGTTCCTCATTTGATTATTCCTCATTTGACCTCACGACATTTGGAATACAAGAAACTTTAGCATTTTTGCTAGGTAGGTACAATGGGAGATAGTCGAACTCCATATCACTTTGGAGCAAAACAAGGATCTGACCACTTGATCAACAACTCTTAAATTACGAACCTAATATGAATGCGTAGTTTATTCGAAATTCAACCTCAAATAGTATAACACGAAATCATATTTGAACTAGACTTGTTTTATAGTTTACTTGATACGATTAACGTCCAAATTTAGTTAAACTTAATAGCAACAATTTTGTCGAACTTGAAACTTTTTCCAAGAAGACATTCAAGCTAGACCATAGAGTGAGTCTTCCATTAATGTCCTTTGGAAAAAGAAAAGTAGTCGAATCAGCGTCCAAGCTGATGCAGTCTTCCTTTTCGTACACACCCCACCCCACCACTAAATAGTTACCAACTTACCACATGTTTTTCACTTTCTTATTTTACAAAAGTTTGAAAAGAAAAGTAAACACAATTTAATAATGCAAGTGTTTGCTTTTCATTATCGACACTCATTTTTACCCATTACACTCACTTCTTGTTAATATGTATTATTTAATTTTTTTTATAATTCATTCAATTTGACCATCAAAAATTAAAATAATGCGCAAAAAGTAAAAAAATGATAGAATATCGGCAACAAAGTAGAACAAATGAGTGTGATCTAACATCCAATTTTTGTGATTTAGAGCATTCTCAATGCAAAATTGATCCCGTTTAAGGTTTTTATTTTTATTTTTTTGTAAAAGAGCCCAATGAAGTTTGAACCCACAAATACAATATTTTTTACTACCAACGTTTTTACACTGTTTTCATACCCACAATATTTGTATGGTTTGTCAAACTATTAATTGCTTTATTTTACAGTTAATTAGTCTTAAAACATAACAAAAACAGTTTAAAAACGCAACGATTCCAAACTAGTCCTTCCGGAGCAATTATATGGCTGATGATCCGCATTTGGTGACAAGTGATAAATCAATGGCCAAGAAGATGTACATGCGTGGGAGCTACCACCGGTAAGCGGCTGATGACCGTAGGGCCGTTTGTCCACAGTGCAAATATAGCATATCTATTGAGGTGCCTTGTGCTGCTCAAGCTACCGCCGAAGGGTAAGCTGGTGGCGGGGAAGGGTACGTTAAAAATGTTGCAACTTACATGATGATGGATAATTAAAGTAAAACGAAGGAGATGGCATTTTTTGGAAGTGAAGCCAATGTCTACAATATTATGTATTGCTATGCTTAACAATTTGTTTTCGTTGCTTGTCGATTTCTTCTTGTTTGGTTCCTAATTGAATACCCCTTCATACAAATGCTGCTAAATATGAGAATGAATGACTCGGTAATTGTTAAGATATTTACGATTGCATTCAATTTGTATAATTTGATCATATTTTTTGGGACACAAATATAATTAAAGAACTTATTCAGATTTGAATGATTTTTTGTAGATATGACCTTTGAGGGAAGACTTAAAAGATAGACGGTTCAGATCATTGATATACATTATGAAGTAAGCCCCACAAAATCTTGTGTCAAAAGTTTTGTAAAAAAATGTTGTCATGGATCCGCCCTCATAATTAAATTGTACAATACTAAAAAATGATAATCACAATACAACCCTACAGACACTGGGCTCATGCGAAGTCCTAAAAAAATCAAATTTGTATGATATGGATCCAAGTGAAGGCCCAATAGCCATATAGCAAGACCAAAACATAAAAGCCCAATAGGGAATAAGGGCATTCGGAGTAAATAAAAGAAAGTAACTATATAAAGAGGTGAGATTCGTCTTCTCCGTAGGAAACCCTACACCTCGGCCGCAGCTGCTCTTCGTCTACAGGTACCTCATCCAAACTCCCTCCTTTTACCGCCATCTGTGAAATCTAGAGCATGTTTCTAACCAGATACCTCCATTGACGAAGCTTAAACGAGTTAGATTTGTACTTAAGACTCTGGATTTAGCATAATTTTTTGGTTAATTATATTTCTAGATTTTGTCTCGTTTGTTATGAGTTTTTTCCTTATTTCTGTTCGTATTGGTTAAATTTGTTCTTATTTTTTGTTTCTACGAAATGTTTGTTAGGTAGGATTGTTTCCCGCAGAGCTTGGAGCAATGGCCCCCGCTAAAGGTACCTCCTTTCTCATACAACCTATATATATATATATATATATATATATTGTATAATACCAAGAAATTGGAAAAAAAAATGAATTATTGGGTTTTAATTTCTGTGCTTGTGTAGTCGATTGCATTGTGAGAATGGTTATTGGAAAAAATGAATTGATGGGTTTTAATTGCTGTATTTGATGTAGTCGATTACTTTGACAAAATGTATTGTTTGGTTTAATGTATTTGATTCATGTGATTACTGATTGTGAAACTCATTTTCAGATGCCACTAATGCTCGTTTCACTGCTTTTCTAGTTTGTCTGGTTTAACTTTGGTAGCTAATACACTAGTGTGTATGTTTTGATTAAGATGCGTGTTTAAGTAGAGTGAGTTTCGCGAACCTGCGTCATAGTTAGACGACGTGTTATTTTCCATGTTTTGAATTTTCATTTTGATCTGAGGTGCTATCATACATAATGTGTGGTGTTGTCTTGTGGAACTCGCGGAATATGATTTATCCGTTTATGTATTAATTTTTCTTGCTGGCAAGAATGGCGTAAGATTAATCGAATTTTTGCTTTTTTAATCGTAGTTAAATGACATGTTATTTTCCATGATTATGTTATTCAACCTCGATTGTTATTCGTTTGCGTCTTGCAGTTGACAGCACGAAGAAAAGTGATCCCAAGGCTAAAGCCTTGAAGACTGCCAAGGCTGTGAAATCAGGTCCTGCTTTTAAGAAGAAGGCCAAGAAGATCAGGACATCCGTCACATTCCACAGGCCAAGGACATTGAAGAAGGAAAGGAACCCCAAGTATCCCCGCATCAGTGCAACACCAAGGAACAAATTGGACCATTACCAAATTCTCAAGTATCCATTGACCACTGAGTCTGCAATGAAAAAGATTGAGGACAACAACACCCTTGTTTTCATTGTTGACATCCGAGCTGACAAGAAGAAGATCAAGGATGCGGTGAAGAAGATGTACGACATTCAGACCAAGAAAGTGAACACCTTGATCAGGTATCTGTTATGGATTTATACTCGTTTTTGTGTTCATATCTGTTTAATCAATGTTTCTGTTTGCGTATCAGTGTTATAGTAAGTTGATAAAACAAATTTTCTTGCTGGAACCAACAAGGTTACATTCCTTAGGTTAATTGAATTGAGGATTTCGTGAAGCTTTATTTAACGTATGACCTGTGTTGTGCAGGCCTGATGGAACGAAGAAGGCTTACGTCAGGTTGACACCGGACTATGATGCCTTGGATGTTGCCAACAAGATCGGGATCATTTAAGTTAAAGCTGTATCGTCTTTTTATTTGGTTCCAAGTGATTCCATTGTGGCTATGGCAGTTTTGTTAGTAGTTGCACTGTATCAGTACTCCTGCATTAGTTTGGTTTTCTTTAATTTGTATTGGGAGCTATATTTGCTTTTTATGGCAATGCGATGCGTTTAAAATTTAGTTTTTACAATGTGCCATTGGTACAATACAGCCTTTTACCGTGTGCTTTATTTGCTCGTTTGTTTTGCAGGCTCTAACTTGGGAGTCATTTAGGCCATCTCCAATCGAAGGCTGGTGCTCGTTTTAGCCATTTGGCTCTTCAATATATTAATATTTTAATGAATAGTAAAGGGTCATATTTCTTATTATTTCCAACCGATGGTCAAAGGGCCATAGTCATAGGGCTTGTTTTAGTCTTGTTACAAAAAATCATCTCAAATGGAGAGCCAAAGAGTTAAATATAATTTATTATTTAAATTTAAGAACTACAATTTAAATTTAAAAACTACAACTTAAATTTAATAACTACAAGTAAAATTTAAAAAATACAACTTATATATTTCAAGTCAAATGTGAGAGTTTAGAAACCAAACATGCTTATAAAAGCCACATCCCAAGGCAGCTTTGAACAAATCATCTTTGGGCCTATAATTAAATATTATTTAAAAAATGTTGGCCAAAAAAAAAAAATATATATATATATATATATATATATATATATAACGACTAGCTGACGTTAGCTAACCGTTGCATTCAAATTTCTGGCCCGGTCTGAGGTTGGTTGGCTAGGTTGGGCTTGCCGGTTGGCCATTTTTTGTCCAATGGGGCCCGCGAGCCATTTGGCCTAGCCCTCGATTGGAGACGGTTTTCAAACTATTTTCAGCCCTCTATCCCTCTGGACCCTTCGATTGGAGATACCTTAACTCTCCAGACTTGACGCGATGGGATATAACAAGGAAAATCGAACGAATTTACCTCGTTAAAAAACAACTAGCAAGCTGTCTAGCACAAGAAAAATAGAGAGAAAACTCATGTTTATTCAATAATAGTCGAAAATATTACTAACTTAGGGCCAAAATAACCTATTTATAATGTAACTTAATCGTAGGAATCCAAATAAGAAAGGTAGTAAACAAATATCAAAATTGCACAAAAATAATAAAATCCCATTTATTTAAATTAAACGCTGGAATTTGGCCAAATTCTGACCGGGCTTGTTAATAACAAGTCTTGGCCAAATTCTGGCTGGGATTGTTGTATAACAAGTCTTGTAGATCTTGTAGTTCTCTTTGAATCCATATATTAAGGGCTCAAAATTAACATGTCAAACCAAAGTTGTGTTAATCTAGACAATACGAAAAGTTCACAACATTTACTTTTGGGATATTGCAGCAACAAATAATCTATTAACCTTTGAATTTCCAATTTTCCAATCACTTTTCCTCATTAAATCGCTTCCTCAGTTTAATTTTGTTGCATGTAAATCGACCCAATTTTTTTCCTACATAAACGGATTTCTTTCTTGATCTATATAGCAGGAGTGACTCAAATTTGGAACGCTTTCAACATTGGAAAGAATGGTCGGTACACTAACTAACAGATATTTCATATCTGAATGAATATATTTCTTCAGAAGAAAAAATGATCTTTCCACTCTCCTACACTCTCAAAGTACAAAATTAAAAGAAAATTTGATTTTGGCCTCATATCAGTATATAGTTTGCAAACTGCAACCCAACGTGAGCCGTTCCTCAATCAAATTGTTAATCGAAGACTTTGAAAAGCTTGAAGGAATCGACGATGGTGTGTAACTTGTCTTTCATCTTTTCCCACCTCCTCTCGTTAGCCCCCGTCGTCAAGGTGTAGAAGTTGCCTGCATTGCAAGGCAAGTCATAACCAGAAAGACAAAATACTGATACCTGCTATCGAGCTGTGAAGGAAACTAAGAAGCATTATACAGGTTTCGTTTCCTTACCATTGCCGATAGCTACTGTGCTGAGAGCGTGGCGAGTATAGTTTGGAGCCTTAGCAAGGAACTCAAATGTGTAATATGTTTTCCCATCGATGTCGTGCTGCATCATAGATACACAAAAGCAACAAATCAACATAAAGCGCATATCACAGCAGATTCAATTCCATCTAAAGAAGGTAGCTAGTGCATCTGCTTTGCTGTTTTTTGCAACACCGATCGATGAACTAAGCAGCTTTATCACAAAGAATGCCTTACGATAATATTGAATGCCTAGGTAGGATGTTGATTTTTTTTTTTTTTTTTTTTTTATGAAGGCAAGGATGTTGAATCATTTATTTGCAGTTTTGTCGTTGTTTAACATATGTATTATCAGCAAACTACTGAAAGCACGGAGAAGTCCGAGTTCCTAATGTTAGACACACATAAAAATAAAAGAGAACTTTAACGAAAAGCTCATGATACTGTTTACTTAACAAAAAACCACATTTTTACACTAAAAAGTCAATCTTTGTACTATTCACTTTACCCTTTATTTTGTCATTATCGTTAAAACTCAAAGTTTTCAAGTCATTTTCATTAGTTTTTCTAAAAAAAAAAAGCATGGAACAAACCTCTACGGCCTCCATCAGCTTTGTTTTCTGGGTAGGAGGAGCCAGAACCTTCTTGATCAAAGTTTCAGCCACCTGCTGCGGTGACCCGAATTCTTTGATATCTTGCTTGACGGTTGGGAACAGTGTCACACTCGCAGTCTCTAATGGCTCAATGACATCCTTGAACACCTTGTCTTGACCTTCGATGGTTACTTCCTGTGTGCTCCCCAGACAAAAAAACCATAAAAAAAAATTGGCCACAACATCAAAGGGTCAAGCACACAATCCCGACACTGATGAAACACAGAAAACTCTCACCTGCCATCCAAAAGGGTAGACAAATTCGTATCCATCTTTCTTGTCGGTGACAGGAATAAATCCCTTTTTATTTTCTGCAGCAACTGAGCCATATCAAAGGTGTTTTTTTAGGATATCAGTCAAAATTAATCAGCAACTCACTTAACATAATTGGCATTGTTGCTACTTAAAAACTGTCTAGAATTCAACGACATCTAGAAAGCTCAGTACTACAAAGCTAAACTTAAAAGGAAAAGCACAGAACAATCGACATTGTTATAATTCCTTACATGATACAGAATGTTGGTTGGTTAGAAGAACCCAAGAAGCAACTGTTCCTGCTGCTAGCACTTGGCGTCTCCCGGATCTATCTGCCAAAGATAAACACCAAATTAGATGGAAAATGAAAAGGAAACATGAGGGAGCGGTACAACGTCCCACTACTAAGCAACATTACTAATCACAGATTGTCATTGTCAGTGACTAGCATCTTACCACCTACTAACACAACATGCGGGAAGTTTTGTCATGAAAGGTCTCGGTTTCATTAAAAATCTCTCTTTTCTAGTTTCTACTATGACTTCAATTGGGTTTTTTTTTATTATCAAAAAGACCGAAAATTGATGGCTGGTTACAAATTTACGAAAGGGCAGTAAAACGTAACAATGCGGATTGAATTCCACAAATAATAGTAGAAAGCAAGAAAGGACCTTGAGAAGGAGAGCATGTAGAAGTTGCTGAAGCCTGATCTGCTCTTACCAGAAAAGAATTACTTTTTCTACAGCAATGGAATGTGCTTTGCCTGTGTAGCTGATTGCCACAAACCCAATTACCCAGGTGAAAAAAAAGAAAGTAAATTCAAACAAGGCATTGAATTTCAGAGAGTTACAGCAGAACAAGGGGGGAGAGAGAGAGAGAGAGTGTGTGTGTGTGTGTGTACCTTGGTGAAGGAGTTAAGGACAGGGGTCCTGTGGAGGGAGGGTGAGTTCTGCAGGGTCGCCATTGTTGGTGGTTTTGTTGAATTGTGAGTGAAGCAGGAAGAAATATGGACTCGGTGTACGCGTGTGTGGAGTCTTGTGGCGATCACCTTATCTGTTTCCTTCCATTTTTTGGACGACTTATCCGTTATACTTGTCATAGGACACACCTTGCATTGCTTAGGCATTTTCTTGCCACGTCAAAAAGAAGAAGAAAATCCTAATTAGTCGAAAACTTAAGTTCGACAGATTAATCATGTGACTAGTTAAGATTCTCACCAATGAAATTTGTGTTCATCGGTGATTATACCTATATGAAGTCGAACGATACTCAAATATAATGAGCTCAATTTTTTTCCCCCCGCCACCCGCGGGGGGGGACCTACTCAAGTTTTACTTATTTGTTTGAGAGGGAAGAGTTAAGTAGGGTAATTAACTTCACTTGGTCTAACTTTGCTGCTCTTGCCTTTAGCAGCATAACTTGTTATTGAATAGTTGCACAAGCATGATCACGTGACGCTCATATTAACAATTATATTTTGCTACATATAACATAAAAAATAAACAATTGAGGTTTCAATAAAAATATAATATATGGCTCGTGTTTAACTCAAGTGGAGATGGAGGATAGGAAAATGAGTTGAAAAATTAAAACAGTGAAATGGTTCAAAATTCCTTCCAAACTAGAAATTCTTGAATGGAGTTATCATACTTATAAAAGATGAAACCAATATATAAGGCGTTGCACTAACTTGTGGATGTGTTGTCACATACAACAACCGTACCTTATAATTTGACTTGAAAAACCCCCAATTAAGTCTAAATATTATCTTCTTTTTTTCTTATGAAAAATATTATGTTAGCGGTGGTCATAGTGAGTCCGACCTAATCTTATTTTTGTTAATTTACCCTCACACCTATCTCGAAACTATCGTCTCCTCACTTAATACCACGTAACAAACGAGTCCGAGCTAATCTCATTTTTATTAACACAATCTCACTTAACAAACGGAGCCTTATGTTATGTAGCGTGGGTTGTGATAAGTGAACCACGTGGTTTCTTGTGGGAGCTAGGAACGATTATCATTGCTCTCTTCTTTAATGAAAGTTCTTGGCCATGTATATCATGTCCATCTTATTTTTTATCTTCAACAAAAAGTTTCCCTTTTTATTGTCACACGATTGCAATAGATTCCCTTTATATTTGACTTCCTATCAGTTTAAATATGGTTTCTTGATTAGTCAGTAACATTATATAAACTTGTAAGGAGGATGATTTAAAGTTGACATTAATAATATTAGATGTCGCATGACGAATACATAACCAAATTATTATGTCTGATCAATTGTGTGACTTAGCCTAAAGTAACTACTGAGTGTAAATATAGCATTATAGTAAATAAAATATTAATACTACATATTTGTAAGGGCTAGTCTGAGGGTGCTTTTAAAAGGATTAAATGTGCTTTTAAAAGGATTAAAAGCGCTTTTAAAGAAAATGATTTTAGATTCCAAGAGTACTTAAAAGTGCTTCTTGTGAAAAACATCAATTATGTGTTTGTGCTTCTTGCATTTTTACTTGCATTTTCATATCGAATTAATTTCTTTTAGTATTCACTTGCATTTTTACAATGAATTAATTTCAAAACATTTTCTACAAAAATAATTTTAGTTGCTTTAAAAATATTTTTAAACGAGCCATAATTTGCGCCTCCTTTTTCAAAAGAAATTAGATGAATTGAAAATTAGGAAAACTAATGAAAATGGCTTGAAAACTTTGAGTTTTAATGATAAGGACAAAATAAAGGGTAAATTGAATAGTATCATGATTGACTTTTTAGTGTAAAAATGTAATTTTTCGTTAAAGTGAACAGTACTAGAAACTTTTTGTTAAACTTCTCGTAAAAATTTTATACAAAGTTGTCGTTGTCATGGTTGTTGTTTGCTTGTATTTTTGTAGATTAGGATAGGTTGATGTGATGTGAGGTTAGATTGCTTAATTTTAATCAAACTCCATTAAGCGACAATTACAGCAAAAAGTCTTTATATAATGTTTTCTTATGATTCAGTATACACAAAAACTATTTCTTTTCTTTCATCATGGTTGCGCTCCATGCACACTAAGCTGACATAATTGAATTCTAAATTATACCAACGAAAAGTAAACAAATGGTAATAAAATGCTTACTTGAAAAGGTAGTTTGATTTGATTAACCTAAATTAAGGCGACATAAGCAACTTAAATTAATTTAATCGTGTGCTGCACAACAAGAGTTACAATCCAAGGATAGTTTGAATGAGCTACCCGAAATCATAACAAATAAATACAATTTTGTTTTCTTCTTTAAAAAAGAGGATCAGTTTACGGGGCCCGTAAACTGTAACAAAGATATTTTAGCCTTCCTTAACCACTATTGTTTGATTCATCAGCGTCAATAATAAACCTAGGACGTGTTGTGTGGAATACGGGCTTAAAATTCATCCCCAACTACTGAGCCATCCTAAATATACATAATTACGGTAGTTTTGACAATTTCCTTTTTCTTTACTCAAGAAAAGTACTATATTCCATTCATTAAAAAAATAATAAATACATATCGTGAATAACTTGAACCCCAACGAGTCCTTGCAAACTAGAGCTAAAAATATTACAATAAAACATCACTAACCTTAAAGTAATGAGTAGATTTCAAGTACTCGTCTGAGCTCATCGGGGATCGAAAGATCACACATATCAATAAAACAGTCAAACCTCATGTTACACGTAGATCATGTGAGAACAAAATCTCAAACCATATATTGAGACAAGGAGTACGATGCCCATGGGTTGATCGCATCACATAATCACCGCCACGATTGCAGAACGCGTAGTGAACGAGATCTAGCAAATCAAAAAGCTCCACCTTTCACACATGGATCCAAAAGAGGTGGCACACCAAAGCAATAAATAAAATCAAGCAACTCTCCTATAGAGAACAATCAAACTAGCAACTCTCTTAAAGAGATAGATCAAAACCAAACTTCAAGACAATTCATGGAAATTATTAGACAAAAACCAAAATAAAAGAATAAAATCATGTTGCCGCTCCGCATCCTTCGAACATCTGAGAGCCATATCACCGCACTGCCTAAACCCATAGTTTCGTTCTGGCTATACCCAATCTTGACGCAATCGAACATCTTCTATGGCTTCCAGCTTCAACTCTATATCGAGGATGATAACTAGATCCAAACCTTGTGTTTACTGTGTGCGTGGACCAAAAGACTACAATCACAACAACTGCAACGTTTCACGACCACAATTCTACATCAAATAAAGTAAACGGAAAGGGAGAGAGAAGAGGCTAAGAATGATTTTCAAGAAGATTGTCGCCAACCTCAAAGTCAAATAGGGCCGGCGACAAAATTTTTTAACAATTGTTATGTTAGTGAAAGTCACTTTAATACTCAAATTATATACCTTTGCCGATAACTGTTGATTTCAAAAAATAACAATCAAGAGCATAAAGGGTGACGGGAGGAGAAGAACCATGAATTGAGGGAGGGGCGAGATGAGGCGATGGGGTGTGAGGATGATCGAGAAGAGGAAGGAGGAAGGGAGAGAGAGCACATGAAAAAATCAAATGAAAAAAAAGGAGAATAACAGCTTGGCATCATTGCAACAATTAATTAACAAATGGTACCACCCAATAAAGCACATGAAAAACAATTGAGAAAAAACAGATGAAATGGACTGTCACAAAAAAAGCAAGCTCATCCCTTTCCAATTTTTCTCAATCATGTTTTTTTTTTTTTCTCTTCATTTTAATCCCACTCCTCACAAGCTCAATAAATTTTAACGGATTCACTGTTATTGTAATGTTATATTCTCATAACATGTGGAGAATGATTACAGTATACATTATTAAACGAAAACGCCATGTAACGATGAACACCAATCGAACATCAATAAACTCCAAGAAAAAAAACCCGAAAAAGTTTTAACATATTTCAATTTCAATTAAATAATAACGAAAAACAAAACACATAACCGAAGGGACACGTGTCACCCTCCCGCGTCCCAACCCCAAGGACTCCAGCGTAACTTCCACCACCCACACACAGCTGTTCACACATTTACCAACACCATCATTCCGCCTCGCAATTACCAAACTACCCCCAAAAGAGCCCAATCCAGGTGCGCCTACCATCATCGCCGGCGTTTGACCGTTGCCCTCTCCAAATTACAGAAATACAAAATCGAAAGATTTATGCTTTCCATTTGCCGCATTATCCCTTTTATTTTTGAATTTTAATTTAATTTTGGGGGGTTTTTTGGCGGGTTTGGGAGTCAATACCTTCTTCCTTGTTTGTCTTTCTCCGCCTTGTTTGACCGAGTCGCCAACCCATCGACGATCCTTGAAGAATCGTCCCCTTCCTCCTTCGTCTTCTTCCTCCATCTCTTTCCCTTTCTGCTTTTCCGAAAAGCAGAAGCAGAATCGCGAAAGCAATCGAGAATCGCAGAGAAGCCAAAAGCGTCGAGATTTTTCCTCTAAATTTAGTGGATCTGTGCTAAATTTAGAGCGAGAGAAATAATAGGTGAAATTAGGTTTAGGGTTTTGGGGAGGGAGGAGAGAGGGTAGGAGGAGCGAGGGAGCCGTAATTTCGCCGGCTCCGCCAAGATGATGATAAATCGGGGACTGTTCGGGTGGTCCCCGCCGCACATACAGCCCTTGACGCCGGTCTCAGAGGTGTCGGAGCCGCCAGAGTCGCCTTCGCCGTATATGGAGCAGAGTAACGACGCGTCGGCTCAGCCGATGGAGCAGGAGGAGGAGATGGAGGAGCAGGAGGAGATGGAGCCGCCGCCAGCTGCCGTGCCCTTCTCGAAGCTGTTCACCTGCGCTGACCGGCTCGATTGGGTTCTGATGACTGTTGGGTCGCTTGCCGCGGCGGCTCACGGGACGGCTCTGGTGGTGTACTTGCACTACTTCGCTAAGATTATTCATATACTCTGGGTCGAGCGTGACCACAAGGGCGAGCCGCCGCCAATGAACGACGAGCAGTTCCAGAAGTTTATGGATGTGAGTTATCTCGATTTCTCAAAACCCCATATTTTTTGTTTTTGGTTTAGTTGATGAAGTAAAAGAATTTAACTTGGGTTATTGGGTTATATTTCTGATAGAGTAAGCTGAAATTGATGGTTTAAGTGAGATAGAGTATACAAATTTATTTTTTCGGGTTCAAATAGCATTCAATTCAATTTTGTAGGTAAAGTTTTGTTTTTTGGTTAGCTTAAGCTGGACATGGCCTGCTTCAACTTCAAGTGTAGGATTAGTAAATGAAACTAATTGTTTCAGTTTTTATAGTGGCTGGATGGTGTTCGGGTTGCCATACGTGGAGAAAATTTGAATTCTTTAGTAATCGGTTTTATTGTTCTTTTTAGTTTGAGCATTAGGGATCACAATGACATAGTGAATCGCTACTTGGTAGGGAGTTTAATTGATTGTGCTTTAACAAGTTTCCCTTACTACAATCACCGGCTTACCAAAATGTTGTGACCGAGAATTTCCGTTTTCTGCTTATTTTTCCTTGTGAAACTTACAGTCTACAATCTATCGATTAAATTCTTCTTTAACTAGCTCCTAAGTAATTGAAACAAGTTTGTGTATAAATCATGATTGTAGATAATGAAAGTTCTGCTTAGATTTCAATCCTGTTAATTTGATAAGAAACATGATTATTTAGTAGTTCAGCTGAAGTCATCTCAAAGGATGTGAGATCACATCTGAGGGGCATAGGTTTATCCATTACTTGTTTTACCATTGACAGACATTGATACGCTAGAGAGTTAATAAACTGCATTATTAAGAATAGATTGATGCTGAGAAAAAGTATGTACTTGTTTGTTTCTGATGTTTTTGCATTTTTTAGATGTATATTTTATATGAGAGATGTGGGAAGGGGGCAGTTGAAATTTGGACCTCAGGTGCAGAGGTGAATGTTAATTGAGAGCCCCTTGCGAAAATTATATATTTGAAATAAAATTATTTCTTTTGCATAAAGAATTGGTTGAGGCTTTTGTTTTTCTGTTTTTTCTCCTTGTGTCTATAGAACCAAAGGCATTTTTTTTGTCTTTCTGACACATTTTTGTTTTCGCATTATACTGTCTTTTTAATGAGTATCTATAACTGAAATAGAAGTTGAACGTATGAGAATTTATTCCATATCTGATTTATTTGTCTGCCTGCAGCTTTCTTTGTCCATCGTTTATATTGCCGCTGGTGTTTTTGCTGCTGGTTGGATTGGTAAAGTTCATTAGCAGAACTAGTCTTTCTCATATTTCTGTGCTTCCAGTAGACGATCCTTTGCATACATTTGTACTAACTTGTTTTATGTGTAATAGAGGTCTCATGCTGGATTCTGACGGGAGAACGCCAGACTGCTGTCATCAGGTCAAACTATGTTCAAGTATTACTTAACCAGGATATGAGTTTTTTTGATACCTATGGGAACAACGGGGACATTGTGAGCCAAGTATTGAGTGATGTGTTGCTCATTCAGTCTGCTCTTAGTGAAAAAGTATGTCTAAAGCTAATATATTTCCTCATTTGCACCCACCCTTCAAACACACACACACAACTTCTTTTCCTTTGACGAGTAAAAGTAGCCTTCCTAATTTGATCCCTTGGTGCATGTGTCTTGTCTAATCTTTCCATTTTTCTCTGACAATGCAGGTTGGAAATTATATTCATAACATGGCTACATTTTTCAGTGGTCTCATTATTGGATTCATCAACTGTTGGCAGATTGCGGCTATAACATTAGCCACCGGTCCTTTTATTGTGGCTGCTGGAGGAATATCAAATATATTTCTTCATAGGCTTGCTGAGAATATTCAAGATGCATATGCTGAAGCAGCTAGCATTGCTGAACAGGTTTGTTATCTTTTTATGCTAAAGATAAAATCTTACCTTACACCCCATGGGATTAAAGATAATTTTTTCCGTTCTATTTCATAATATCATATATTTATGACAAATATTGACAGAAGCTGTGTCTTTATCTTCTTGGTACTGCTGAGTCTTGATTTGTGGCAGTTGTCATTTTTGTGAAGTGGTTTATGCCATTGTTTGTTTAAATGTCCTTACTTCTCAACTTATGCAGGCAGTCTCTTACATTAGGACGTTATATGCATTTACAAATGAAACATTGGCCAAGTATTCGTATGCTACATCACTGCAAGCAACTCTAAGATATGGCATATTGATAAGTCTTGTGCAAGGACTTGGACTTGGATTCACTTATGGCCTTGCCATTTGTTCTTGTGCCCTGCAACTGTGGGTTGGAAGGTTCCTGGTTACTAGTCATGAAGCTCATGGTGGTGAAATTATAACAGCCCTTTTTGCTGTAATATTAAGTGGCCTGTAAGCATCTTCTTTTTCTTGTCTTTTTTCTAATAATTTTTTTTTTTATGGAGATCGTGCATGCCATTTATTCCTTTTACTTGTGTATTAATTCAAACCTTTACAGTGGGCTGAATCAAGCGGCAACAAACTTCTACTCATTTGACCAAGGTCGAATTGCTGCTTATAGACTTTTTGAGATGATAAGTCGATCATCCTCTACTGTTAATCACGAGGGAAGTGCCCTAGCGACTGTACAAGGAAATATTGAGTTTCGAAATGTATATTTCAGTTATCTATCTCGTCCTGAGATCCCCATATTGAGTGGTTTTTACCTCACTGTACCTGCTAAGAAAGCTGTAGCACTCGTTGGCAGAAATGGTTCAGGAAAGAGCAGTATTATCCCCCTCATGGAGCGGTTTTATGATCCAACTTTAGGTATGAGAGTCAGATTTCGCTTTCATGCTTTGTGTTAGCTTTCTCATTTAAGGTTTTACTGAAACCTGTAGCCAGAATTTCTGCTTGCAGATTCTAACGGTGCTTCCATTTTGTGGTGCAGGAGAAGTTCTTTTGGATGGAGAAAATATCAAAAACCTGAGACTGGAGTGGCTAAGAAGTCAGATAGGGCTAGTCACACAGGAGCCTGCTTTGCTGAGTTTAAGTATAAGAGACAATATTGCTTATGGGCGGGATGCTACAATGGACCAAATTGAAGAAGCTGCTAAAATAGCGCATGCGCATACATTTATTACCTCACTTGAGGGAGGATACGATACACAGGTGAATCATGGAAGGAAAAATTAGACATGGAAATATCTATTTATTATGTTAATAGATTTTTCTGCTGTTCGGTTTTTGAAGATCCTTCTTTTCCTTCTATGTATCGCAGGTGGGAAGAGCAGGCTTAGCATTGACGGAAGAGCAAAAAATAAAACTTTCAATTGCCAGAGCAGTACTTCTGAACCCCTCAATTCTTTTGCTTGATGAGGTCACTGGTGGACTTGATTTTGAAGCTGAAAAAGCCGTTCAAGAAGCTCTAGATGTCCTTATGTTGGGGCGTTCAACTATAATTATAGCTCGGCGGCTTAGTCTTATAAGGAATGCTGATTACATAGCTGTGATGGAGGAAGGCCAACTAGTTGAAATGGGTACCCATGATGAGTTATTAAACCTGGATGGCCTCTATGCGGAGCTTCTCAAAAATGAAGAAGCTGCAAAACTTCCTAGGAGGTATGGTACAAGAGCAGCTGTTCTTTCTTTAACTTAGTTTAGGATTGTCCATGGTTATCATGGCAGTATCCGTACAGGGGTGTATGCAGCTACAGAATAGTCTCTATTTTGAAATAGAATTTCATTTTTCTCCTGGACAAGTTTCATCTTTATGGTTCTGTTCATGCAGGATGCCAGTGAGCTACAAGGAAACTGCAACTTTCCAAATTGAAAAGGATTCTTTGGCAAGTAATAGCTTCCAAGAACCATCATCTCCGAAAATGATGAAATCACCCTCCCTTCAGAGAACTACTGGCATGTTCCGGATGGGTGATAACACTTTTAACTCACAGGAGTCACCAAAAGCTAAGAGCCCACCAGCAGAGAAAGTGTTGGAAAATGGTCAGGCCTTGGATTCAGAAGATAAGGAACCATCAATAAAAAGGCAGGATAGTTTTGAAATGAGACTACCAGAGTTACCCAAGATTGATGTCCATTCTGCTAATCACCAAACGTCAAATGGTTCGGACCCTGAATCCCCCGTTTCACCCCTTCTGACATCTGATCCGAAAAATGAGCGGTCCCATTCACAAACCTTTAGCCGCCCCCATAGTCATTCAGATGACTTTCCCATGAAAGTGAATGAAGCAAAATGTAGAAATTATAAGAAGGCACCATCATTTTGGAGGCTTGCACAACTTAGTTTTGCTGAATGGCTGTATGCTGTGTTAGGAAGCATTGGTGCTGCTATCTTTGGTTCTTTCAATCCTCTTCTTGCTTATGTAATCGCACTGATAGTAACAGCATACTACAGAGTTGATGAAGGTCGTCACTTGAAACCGGAAGTAGACAAATGGTGCTTGCTCATTGCTTGTATGGGTATAGTGACAGTCGTTGCCAATTTCTTGCAGCATTTCTACTTTGGTATAATGGGTGAGAAAATGACTGAACGAGTTCGTAGAATGATGTTTTCAGGTGCTTGACTCTTTTAATATTATTCTAGTTTTCTTGATATTGAATTGTACTGTGCCGGCATGTTGTCTTACATTTTGCAATCTTGTGACAGCAATGCTACGAAATGAAGCAGGATGGTTTGATGAAGAGGAAAACAGTGCTGATACCTTATCCATGCGCTTGGCCAATGATGCCACATTTGTACGAGCTGCTTTCAGCAATCGGCTGTCAATATTTATACAGGATAGTGCTGCTGTTGTTGTTGCTCTTCTTATCGGGGTGCTGCTACAATGGCGATTAGCACTTGTGGCTTTGGCAACCCTACCCGTTCTCACTATTTCTGCCATTGCACAGGTTTTCATCATGTCTTGCTCTATAATGCAGAAATGTTTCTACTAGAACCATAGTTGTGATCCAATTTTCTGATTAATTTGGGGATGACATTCAGAGTTAGAAATATAGTTTTCTGTTTCTTATAATAATAGAGTTTCGTTCTCTGGTAGAACAAGTTTGCCCTTTGGTTCTCCAAACGTGAAAGTCAAAACTGGCAGTACCCATGTGTTCGTGTGCACAAATTGATATAGGGAAATCAATTCAAACTTTTATTTTGCAAATTCCAGTTATGAGTTTTCAGTGCTACCGTTACTGCCTCAGGCAAGGGAACCGATTCAAGGTGAAATCCTGTAATAAGGTTTGATTACGGATATTGTACCATCTACATATGGTGGATTTGAAACTAAATTTTAATCATCTTCAGGGCATCTCCTAAAAACTAATACTAAGTGGTGATATGTTGGCTTCTCTTTTAACAAATGACCTTGTATGCTGAAGTATAGGTACAAATCTAGGTATATATAGATATAGTTCGTGCTTGTTTGATGGTGTTGTATGATTGGGTCCTCGAGCTTATGTCCTGCTAATTTGGCTCCTGTATATTCTATCATTTGTCCAAATTATCTACCATCTTTGATCTATGGTACTCATCTTCGTTTTTTTATTTTTTATTTAATGAAGAACCACAGTTGGGTTTCTTACCCACAAAAATCTTATATCATTCAATTTGAATATTGCAGAAATTATGGCTTGCTGGTTTTTCAAGGGGAATTCAGGAGATGCACAGGAAGGCATCTTTGGTTCTTGAGGATGCAGTTAGAAACATTTACACTGTTGTAGCATTCTGTGCTGGTAATAAGGTAATGGAGCTCTACAGGTTGCAGCTAAAGAAAATATTCAAGCAGAGTTTCTTTCATGGAATGGCCATTGGCTTTGCATTTGGCTTTTCGCAGTTCCTTCTTTTTGCCTGCAATGCCCTTCTCCTCTGGCACACTGCACGCACTGTGAAAAATAAGCATATGGATCTACCTACTGCTCTCAAGGAGTATATGGTTTTCTCTTTTGCTACATTTGCACTTGTAGAGCCTTTTGGGCTGGCTCCTTACATCCTGAAGCGCCGAAAATCTCTCATTTCAGTTTTTGAAATCATAGATCGAGTGCCGAAGATTGAGCCAGATGAAAACTCAGCGATGAAACCACCTAATGTTTATGGAAGCATTGAGTTGAAAAATGTTGACTTCTGTTATCCAACCCGCCCAGAACTGTTGGTACTGAGCAATTTCAGTCTCAAAGTAAATGGGGGGCAAACTGTAGCTGTGGTGGGAGTTTCAGGGTCAGGAAAGAGCACTATAATTTCTTTGATTGAGAGATTTTATGATCCAGTTGCTGGTCAAGTCTTACTGGATGGTCGAGATCTGAAAGTTTATAATTTGAGATGGTTGAGGAACCACCTAGGTCTTGTTCAGCAGGAACCCATTATATTCTCGACAACCATTCGGGAAAATATTATATATGCAAGGCACAATGCTAGTGAGGCTGAGATGAAAGAGGCAGCCAGAATAGCAAATGCTCACCATTTCATCAGCAGCTTGCCTCATGGTTATGATACGCATGTGGGGATGAGAGGTGTTGACTTGACCCCGGGACAGAAACAGAGAATTGCAATAGCACGCGTCGTGCTAAAGAACGCCCCCATCTTACTATTGGATGAAGCAAGCTCGTCCATTGAATCTGAATCTAGTCGAGTGGTGCAGGAGGCTCTTGATACATTAATCATGGGGAACAAAACAACCATTTTGATAGCCCATAGAGCTGCAATGATGAGGCATGTCGATAACATTGTAGTTCTCAACGGAGGGAGAATTGTGGAAGAAGGGTCCCATGATAATTTAATGTCAAAGAATGGTCTCTATGTCCGTTTGATGCAACCACACTTTGGCAAGGGTTTGCGTCAGCGTCGCCTCGTTTAGGTTGAGGCCATCGATTGTTGAGAATTCACGTTTGGTTCACCTGTACAGTTCTCATTCTCTCGTTCTGGATAGCTGGAGATATATGCAACCAATAATGGCGTCATCGTAGAATATTCCAAAGTGGACGGGGTCTGAGAATGAGAATCGGAGTGTTTATAGCGGAATGAGGCACGGAATGCAGAGGCGGATTCGTCGTCATATTGTTCAAATCTAGGCTTCTAGGAATAGGATTTTTCGTTGGTGTTTGGTTGGTTATTTGAGGATTTGCTGTACATCCTGGCCTAAGTCTCCAATGGTATATTGATTGGTATCAAATCAAGGTCTCTACTGAAGGTGTTTGGTTGGGGGGGGGGGGGGGGGGGGGGGGGGGGGGGGGGGTTCCCTTAGATTTTAGTTATTTTACTTGACACTCACTTTTTGTTGTAACTTTTGTGAATATATAGATAATTTGTTGCTATTCATTTTTCCCTGCTCCAGACACTCGTTTTCTTCTTCCGCACTCCCTCACTTTAGGTGTTCGTCGATACTCGTTGATTGCAAATAGACAGAATTTTTTTAGCAATATATACTTCTTACACTGTCATTGGAGATTGCATTGCTCCATGACATTGGATTTCAGATGTCAAGCATTCTGAAAGAGTCTGCTACCACTTTAAGCTGGTTGCGGTATCTTTTCCACCGTCTTTCGTTTGCTCCGACAATCAGGGTGTAGTATCTCCTGTGAATAAGATAAGACATCGGGATGGGAATGCGGTCTAGATTGACTGTCTAACAACATTGTTGAGACGGTGGATGCTTACCGTTTCCAATGGCTATGGTTGCGAATGAAGTGGTAGCAAAGTTTGGAGATTCAAGTCCATACTCAATGGTGTAATAATTTTTCCCATCTATGTTTTTCTGCATTCAATAGATACCCAATCATCAATTGTTAAGAGTTGGATAATGCAAGAGTTCTTGTATATAAAGAGCATATATGTACAGATTAAAACCTCCTCGACGCCAAATATAGTTGCATACTGGTTTGGTGCAGCAAGTTTATGCCTCACCAGATCGGTAACAACCTGCTCAGAACGAAAAATTGTGAGAGACCCGCGATAAAGACATAGATACAGGGTTTTGCAAGACTGGTGATATGACGGATTTTCTCGCTTTACCTGTTCCATTGGACCCAAATCATGGATGTCAGTTTTATTTGTGGGTATAAATCTCACTCTAACATTATGCAGCTGCATATATCTGTCCTTGAATGCAGAGTCATGTGCTCTAAACTCAAAGTCCTGAGATATGGAGGAATACAGAAATCATTTCAACTGAAAAACATTTTCTTTTCTTTTCTGTATGAGAAAATTTAGGGTTCTTACCCTCCAATCGTTGGGGTAGTAGTATGAATACCCATCTACTTTGTCGACGAAAGCTCGAAACTTTTCCGGTATTTCTTCAGGTTGAAGAAAATTAGTTTGGGGAAAGAAAGAAAAAAACAATTCATAATTCAAGGAATATGAGTTCATACAAGTTTATATGATACCTTGAGCAAAGAGGGAATTTGCATGAAGTAGACTTGTGGTTAGTGCCCCAAATCCTAAAAGTAGAGGCCTTCTCTTGCAATGGCCTAAATTTTTCATGATAGCATGAGATTTTGTTCAGGTTTAGCCCAGCGGTGAACTTGAGTAAGAGTAGGCTAGGTTCAAGGTTCGTAACCCTCAAATATAATAAAAATATATAAAAATCATGCCTAACCAATCATTAATTGTGATAGAAGAAAATATAATAGTTAATAACCCGAAAACATTCACGGATTAACACAAACACTTGTTTTCTAATGGGTCATTAGGATTCCAGTCCACCAGTTATCAACATAATCAGTTAAGCCTTATCCCAAAAACTTTCGTGCGTGTTCATGTTGTGTTATTGGCTTGTGCATGATTTTGCCATGTCTAATTCAATATAGAGAAAGGAAAGAAAAAGTCAAATTTGAAAAAGCTCAATGTAGGAGAAAAATTTAGGAAAATGCAGAGCAAAAATACTCATAAATTTGAACCAAAGTATAGAGGCTGAAAATCATCCAAAGAAAGCATTTTTGTAGTGAAAGAAATCAATGTGTGCGCCTATCAAATTATGCAAACGTTAACAGAAATTTATACATGCATTAATAACTGAGTACTGACCGAGCGCATTGATATTCTAAAATTTATACAACCGACCACACTTAGTGGATAAGGTTTTATTGTTATTGTATTAATAATTGAGTATTGAGAGTTTGAAGAAAAAACTGAGATGGGTAATCTTACTTTCTTCAATGGAGGCTGACTCTCCTGAGCAAGTGATTGATTTGCATGAAAAATGAGCCGAGGTAGCTCGTGGCAACTCATTGCAGTAAAACTAGAGCAGAATCAAATACATGTATGAGTTAGTAACGGATTTTTTTTTGTTTTCGATTCAATAAAATATCCTTCGTACCGTCGAGGTTTCTACCTTGTTGTCGGGTATGGCAGTAGAAACCCAGCAGCTCAATGAGATGGATGATGAAATTGCCATGCTTGAATATTTATCAGAACTCAGAAGTGGCTTTAGGTACTGATATTACAAGTAAAGAGTGGATGGTGGAGACTCAAAGCATGGAGTTCGGCTTCTTGATTGGGGTTGAGTGGGCCAGAGAGCTATTACACGTGAGAGGCACGTGAATGAAAAAGGAATAAGAGATTTTCTAGAATTTAATTTAGCCAGCACCACACTCAATTCCAAAACTCATACCATATCGGAAAGCAAATATGACAGCTGATGACATGCTTAATCTTAGTTATTTTGATCATTCATATTATATAACATCAAGAATAATGAATTAATATATGTATTTTTAATGTTTTAATCTCAATTCTTGATATTAAATACGGTAATATTTGGCTGTTAAAAGAAGAGCAGTAAGTACTGTAGAAAAACAAATTGAAAATGGACACATGTCCATTGGAATGAAGTTGGTTCACGTTTCTAATTCTTTAATTATTGGCCACATGTTCATTTATGATTGAAGACTTATTCATTTCAGTAGGACTTACTACTCTTATTTCAGTAATCAAGCATTATTCTTAAATGTAACCAAGACGAAACTCTACTTGTTTGTATTTTGTACTCAATAACGGAAGTTCCGAAAAATTGTTGGTGCTGAGATTGTCACCTTGGAATAATTCAGCTGCATTCATCAATGGAATAGAGGTTGTTTCTGTGCCTAGTGGGGAATTTCCTAGCACCAAAGTAATGCCTGTTCCTTTCGGGGAACATCCAAACATAGCTTTTGAGACAGCGTATATATCGTATAAACATGGGAGGACGTGGGAGCCAGATCATGCTTTTCTTCTCAACCTGCAGCGGCACGAAGCTTCAGTGCTGATCCCGGATCCATCAGGTACCCTGATGGAGTTTCGATCGACATTGCACCCATTTGGGTTTATGCCACAGCTCAAGGAATGGCAGATGCAAAGGTCAGCAATCAGAAAATCAACATATCATGGGCATTCGACGTCGAAAAGGACATCAGTTATCTGATCAGATTGCACTTTGGCAACATTGTGACGTTTGATCTTCAATGTGTATATCAACCAACAATCTGCTTTAGACTCTTTTGATATCTCAAGCAGGACAAAGAAATTATCAGCAGCTTATTCGTAGATTTCGTGACTAATGTATCCGTGGATGAAAATCGGATTTTTGTTCAAGTAGGTCCTCCTATGCTGAGGGATCTCCCTTTCAATGCAAATTTGAATGGATTGGAGATTATGAAAATGAGCACTCGTAGAGACAGCCTTGATGGGACCTTCCAGCGAATAACAACGCAGATTTGAAATCCCAGGGCAGGCAGAAAAAGTGGATGCTGCTGTCAATTTGTGCTTCTTCAGCAGGATTTGTAGTTTTGGTACTCATCTCAGTTGCTTTCTTTTTGTGCTTCTTCAGCAGGATTTGTGCTTCCTCAGTGCTCGGCCTGGCTGTCATTCCCTAGCCAGTGGGGAATTTCGATTCAAAAGTTTCCATTGGCAGTTATGATTATTCCACAGCACACTCTTGTTTGCGCCGCATTTTTGCTTTTGCGGAGATTCGTGAAGCAATCAAGAATTTTGACAAGAGCTTGGTCTTGGGAGTAGGGGGATTTGGCATGGTTTACACGGGAGTGCTAGAAAATGGAAATGTGGTTGCAGAGTATAGTGTGGAAACCCGCGTGCCCAACAAGGCCCTACCGAATTCAGGACAGAATCGACATGCTGTCAAAGCTCAGGCACAGACATTTGTCTTCTCTCATACGCAACTGCGAAGAACTGAACAAAATGATCCTTGTTTATGAGTACATGGTCAAAGGTCGTCTGTGAAGGCACTTGTATGGTTCGAATCTTCCTCAGATTACTTGGAAACAAAGGCTTGAAATCTGCATTGGAGCTGCAAAGGGGCTGGCATTAACTTCACAATGGAGTAGCAGATAGCATAATTCATCACGACATGAAAACAACAAACATGCTTCTTGATGAATGCCTCACAGCGAAGGTGGCTGATTTTGGATTGTCAAATTTAGGCCCTGCTTTGGATCAAACACATGTGAGCACTGCAGTGAAGGGGAGCTTTGGATATCTTGATCTGGATTACTATCGCCGGCAGCAGCTAACGGAGAAGTTAGATGTGTACTCTTTTGGAGTAGTTTTACTAGAGGTCTTATGTGCTAGGCCACCTATATACCCTGCCCTCCCTCGAGAGCAAGTTAACATAGCAGAATGGGCAATGAGTTGGCAAAAGAAGGGAAGATTAGAGAAAATTATAGACCCCCGTCTTCAAGGACATGTGAATCTTGAATCCTTGCGAAAATTCGGAGAACAGCTGAGAAGTGTTTGGCTGAATATGGAGTTGAGAGGCCAACAATGGGGGATGTTTTGTGGAATTTGGAGTACTCTCTTCAACTGCAAGAGGCTTCTACACAGAGCTTTTCGTCCAAAAACATTGCGAATTACATTCCGGATATGCCAGAATGGCTTCCGGAAATTCGAAATGGCAATGGTTGTGGTGGTGAGGGCATTAGTGATGAAGAATCTGATGCAACTTCAAGTGCAGTCTTTTCAGAGTTATTGGATCCAAGAGGGAGAGAGGAGCTGATTCATCACACATACTTTAACTTACTATACCAATATATTGTTTCTTCTTTATTCTTAATTTCATAACTTGTATTGTGGGATCAAAGTGCAAAGGAAATTTGAAGATCAAACGGTCCTTTTTCTTGGGAAATTTCACACTTCCAATTCAAACTTCATGCAGGCGATCATACTGATGAGTTTCAATTCGTG